ACAATAAAACTAACCCTAACCCTAATTACAATTAAAACTTCGAAAGTCACGTGGGTACAAGGCTTTAGCGATCCCCCATAATAAAATATATGTGTAACATTACACCAAAATACCGTAGCCTTAAACCCGATAATCTATCTAACTTTACTATAACTCAAGCTAGAGTTTGGAACCGGGTTTATTTTTCATATGTTAAAACCGGTTTAAGTCGGTTTTAACATATAAAAAATAAACCCGGCTCCAAGCTCTAGCCCAAGCCCGATAATCTACCAAACTTTATCCTAATCCAAACCCGATAATCTTACTATAATAATAACCTTACCTTATCGTTATCAAACCCGCCAATCCCTTTTAATATTAATCCAAATCCGTTAATCCTAACCCATTAACCCTACCGCTACTCTAATCTTGCCCTAATTTCAACCGTTAATCCTGCCGCCCACTTACTAACCTAAACTATCATTTGCACGTAAGAAATCCCTCAAAAAAAAACTATTCAAAACATTTCACCAATTTAATCCGAAGAAATCTCCACGTCACTTACGTCAAGATAACCGTTACTCAGGTACCTGCAAGGATAAGGCATCAATATACGACGGCGAAAACACCGGAAAAGCGAAATACCCAACGCGATGACACCAACAAAGACGGCACCGATATATGACGACAACACTGGCAGACGAGAGAAATAAAACACCGTTCTACGTATAAAAATAATCACAATAATCATAATAATAATAAAATAGATTAGTACAGAGTAAACTATGTAAAAAAAATTTGATATATATGTAGATCTCTGTAATCGGGGATTTCCCCCGGTTAATTTTGATTTTACGTTACACCTGATCTTTCGATCTAATTGGCTAAAAATCACGTTTCGTCAACAAATTGTTTTATGTTTATAAAAGGGACTTGAATTATAGTTTGATATCCAATCATATTAAATCGGAATCAATTGCGTCATATGACGTCCCCAGACGAAATCGTCGATGGTTTTTTTTTTAAATATATCGAAATCATAGTCTTCATGTATATAGCTTTTTAAAATTGATTACTAATCGATTTGTAAATTAAAAATCACGTGACTAACATAAAAAAAGAACTACCCCGAAAAATTCTGCAAAACGTGACCACGAGCCAATCACAGTTGAAGATCAGGTGTAACGTAACACAATCCGAAA